TATATATATATATATATATATATATATATATATTTATATATTATTATGAATACTTTTTTACTGATACAGCTATACATTTGCCAGATGTAATACTGACATTTTTTTTTCAATCCTGGTGAGTAGGATATTGCTGCTGCTATTGACGAAGAAGATGTCGGGAAGTTTACTGATGCTGTGAAGGAATTTGATAGCATGACCCCACTGGTAAGCTCCAAAAGTTGTAAAATAGGATAATATTATCCACAATTTATATGGAAATATTTTCATTAGCTTACACCTGATTTAAATTTCTCCCTGAAAGTTAACCTCTATTCGATTACCGAGAGTGTAATTTTCGTTTTCTTATACTCTTCAAATTACTGCAAATTATGTATTGAGTTTAGGCAGTCTTGTTTCCATTGCTAAAATAATACGTAAATATGTAACCAAATTTGGTAGGATTTTACCATGTCAACATGTGGCTATGCGTAAAAGTATTTTTTGTTTTGAGCGATGCATGTCTAAGCGATGAGTTGCAATAGTGTTTCTGAAGTAGTTGTTTTGAGCTTACACTTTTTTCATTTCATCAAATTCTACAAATTCCTTGTCGAATCTTCTATACGTCAATAGAAAAACCAAGGAAAAGTTGTAATATGTTTCTTTTGTTTTGTCTGTCACATTTTGATTTTTAATTTCCTTTTCTTTTTCATTCCATTTCCGTTGCTCATGAACATTGGCCATGGACTTGTATAGGATTCTTGGAAGACCACACTTCTTTTGAGGGTGAAGGAAAAGCTGAAAGCGAAAGAACTTGAGGAGGATGATCTTACTTGAAGTATACCACTCACTATTTTGGTGGTTGGACCTATTGTTTGATGATTTACAGATGTACCATGCATGTCTATTCAGTTGTTCATTTTACACATCTACACATCTACTTACTGAGTGTCCTTGCTTTCATTTGAGTGTACTTTGGTTTCAATATTGATTTGGTCTGACTGAATTCAAGAAATGAGTTTTTAATATATTATTTGTAACAGATTGTAATTGTTTGTTACTCGACCCTATACTTCTGAATGATTCGGAAATTTTAGCACTAATAAAGCAACTTAAATCTAAAATCTTAAAATAATAGCTCTGCATATTTTTTATTTTATTTGGTAAAACTTTCAACTTATGTCTAAAATTATTGGCTTTTCTAATCGTTTATGTTGTTGGTATCTACTTTTTGAAAAACATAATAAAATGTTACTCATTATAAATGTTTATAGCAGTGAAAATATACTGTGAAAAAACTTAAATAAATTATATAATGTGGTCATTAAAACAATTTATTTTATATATGTTTAGAAATTCATTTTAGTTATTAATTTAGACCTTGTGAACTAACATATTAAATTTATATATGGAAGAATTAAAATGAATTGTTTATACATGTATATTTTAACGTCAACTAATCAGCTAATTTATACATGTATAATTTTAGTAAAGGAATATGTTTAATATCATTATTTTGTAAAACACTTTTATTTGAACATATTTTATATCACATAAAACCTAAGTATAAAATGTTACAATATAAATTAGATTCGAAGTCTGAAAAATAAATTTTAAAACTAAAACAAATTAAAAATTATTAAAAAGTGTATTTCTGAAAATCTTAATTATGAAATAAGAATCATAAAAATATGAAAAATAATATAATGTTGACCGGGAGAGCTAAACACTTTTTATGATAGTCCAAATCTAGTTAATTTTATTTTTTTTTATGATGTTTATATGTTTCTGTTAAAATTAACTGTTAGCTAAGTGTTAAATCTATTAAATATGCTAATTAAGAAGTTTGTTCTCTGTTTTAATATATAATAATAACATTCATTTGTGAAGAAAGAACAGTATTGAAGCTTTCTTGGAAAGTTAGAACATTAATTAAGTGAAATCAAGACTTCAAGCATACTAAATGGAAATGACTAAAGAGTAATTATTTCTGATTTCTTCTGTAATACCCGCACGTGTATTACCTTCTTTTACTGTTTTTTTTTTAAATTTTGATTACTATTAAATACTTGTTGTTGTGTAGGTAAGATTCGTAGTGTGAGTGTGTAGCCTTATATTAAGAAGTTATTTTTTTTGTTAAAGATTTAGATTATATGGAAATATTGTAAGTCTATAATCTTCTTATATTCTTATAGTGGATTTCCTCCTAATTAAGATTGTTTGAAAGAAAACGAACCAGTATAAAATCTTGTATGTTTCTTTTAATTTTTATTAGTTATCTTTTAAATCTTTAAAAAGGTTAAAAAATTCATTTAAAACCGTTTAATACATAAAAAATTTCATGAAAGGTAAAATTAGTTTTAAACCAATTCATCCTAGTGGTTGAGATATATTGATCCTATATCCTTCAACCATGAAATACACGGTCGAAGAGCCACCGTGCTCCACCTGATTTCAAACAACACCTATCACATGACTGCTTAAGGGAAAAAAATACTATGATTTCTTAAGTAAAAACACAAACTACTAATGTGTTCAAATACCCGCAGACAAAAATATCGCACAAGAATATTAAAAAAAGCATAGAGAAATGTGTTTGTGAAAGTAGAGTTTGTTGCTGTGTCTTAGTATTTATACAAATTCAAATAAGTGAATAAATAAAAGTGGGTAAAATAGTTAATAATGCTCAGATATGAATATTGAATAAAAATTTCAAAATTACTCGACCCGGTCCAATATTAATATTTGACTATTATAAGAGTAAAATCACTCACTTTTATACTAGAAACACCAGTAGTCGTTGATGCTCTTCCATTCTACATAATGTTGAGCAAAAAATATGAATCCAACAACATCCAAGAAAAAAAAAATAGTAAATAAATAAAAGTTGGTGAAACGAGTAATGGTTGGATATTAATATTTTTTATTTTTAAATTTTATAATCATGAAGTTATTTTTAGTTTTCCAATTTCATAAACCAAAAATTATTGTTGGTTTCAAAACTATACCAACAATTATTTTTAATTTTTTCAGATTTTATAATTCAAAAGTTAACTTTGATTTCAGAATTACATAATTTAAAAATTATTTTTAACTTTTAAATTGTTCAGCCATTTTAGCTTTTAGATTATATAATTGAAAAAAAAAGAGAGATAAAGTTAGAAGTTTTATATTTATAGAGGAAAATAAGGAAAATATGGAGGTGAAAGAAAAATTTGCTGAACTTACATTACCCAATTACATAAGTGACCCATACTGGTTGGGTTGGGTTGGGCTAAGTAACTATTTTTCAAAAGTTATTTATTAACGTTTAACAAAAAATATATAAATATCTTTATGCATTTCAAACGGTTTAAAATCTATTTTACATGGTAAAAACCTCTATTATAAAAAGATTAATATGAAATATATTTAAGAAGATAATTCCTATCAACAATTCATCAATTTTTTCTTTCTATAAATGGTGTGTTTTCCACAAAACTTAACTTGTTTATTTATTTCTATATCAGTTTTTTTCTAGAAGTTATAACACTTGAAAGTTCATCCGCCCTCTATTTTTTCAGAAAACGTGAAAAATTCAATTGTTCTAATAACATAGACATACATATAAATTGATCGTAAATTGATATTATTCCAAATACTCAAGAACTAAAATATTTAAAATTCATCACTTCTAAACGAAAGAAAACATGATAGAATGAAAGATATTCAAGCAAAATGCTTTTACTCTTAATATCATTCGCTTTAATTAATGATTTGTCATGAAATTATTTTTTCAGGCTGAAAATAGGAAATTCATGCACTTTATACAAGGGTCAGTGTTATAGCTGGTAGGTAGGTTTTGGGTTATTTAATCAGGACTTAACTTTTTTGGTCAAACATGAATAAAAAGTTATTTATTCATGTACTCCTATATTTTCTTGCTAATGTATTCTGAATCACGTAATTCGAAATATATTTTAAATTCTTCTATTCAAAATGTATATAAAAAAATATTATATTGTAGATTGTGTAATATGAAATATACTGCAAAGATAAATCCATTTTGAAATGTATTGTCTCTCGTTTCTTCCATTCAAAACCATCTTTTACGCTATATGTAATGCAGAAAGAAAGGATAGGGGTGCAGGAAGTAAAGGTGTGAACAAAAAGAGTAAAATATTTTGGTTACATAACAAGATGGGCTGAAAAGATTGAGCTAACTCAGCCGAATTAAAACTGGGCAATACATCATATGTTGAACAACTAGAATAATGTTACAAATGAAATGTATACAACAACACATTTTGATTTAATTAAGATTTAATTAAGAAGCAGAGGAATTAAATGTAAAGATATGTTGTGATTAGCAGACCAAAACCAATGATGTTGTGAGTGGCTGATACATATTTGTTGGAGGCATCTATGATCCATCATTTGTCTACACTTTGTCAAGCAAAACCTATTATAGTGTGCCAACACGTGACAAGATACGCACTTGATGTGGTGCGTGTCAGATTAGGGAATTCCAACACACAAGTCATACCATTCATCATCACATAAATTTTATATGTTATCACTCAAGTCACATCCTTTTCTTTTTGCAGAAATTAATATGCAACAACACACCAACGAATTATCACTCAAGTACCATTTCCTATTTCTTTATCATAATCCATTCACGTAATTACCAAATCATATATATGAATCATTGAACCCTATAAAACATATTATATACACACACATGATCATCTTGCTCAAGCTACAAGACGGAATCTTCAGCATGTACCTATATAAAACGTTTCAACTGTCCTTTCACGTTCAATATCCATCAAATGTTACTAAAATAATGTCAGTGGTCACTGAAATTTCATATTTCTGACTAGACCTAACCAGAGGTCTGTGGAAAAAACTCTCTAAATGACAAAGTTCTAAAAGTTGAGGCGATTCAGTGTAATATATATATATATGTGTGTGTGTGTTTGTGGACCAACAATTGGTTGAAAATGACATCCTTAAAGAATTTGATGTTTATCTGATCCTCAGGAAGAACCATACAGCTAGGTCTGGTCCAAATAGGCACTTGCAGACATGGTAAAAACTTAAGTTCCCTTTGGTAAGAATTTCTGTATATTAAAATTAAG